GTGATCCGCCCATTGTTTAATCTGTTTTCTTCCTTGGTAATTGGGTTCCCTTGGCTGTCTTTTATAGGTTTCGCTTGTGTTGGTCTCTTCCCGGATAGAGATTTGGTTATCTGATATAATGTCCTCAGGTCCCTTTCGCCTGCTGCCTTCTCAGCTTCAGTGGCGAGGTTATCGTAGAATCGTCTTTTGTCCTTCCTAGCACTCCTCTTCACTTCTTTGTCCAGTGCTTTGTAAGTTGATCTCAGCGTCTCTTTCTCCTGTCCGTCCATGCATTGAATCATTTTCTCTTTCACCATTCTCCTCTTTTCTATTAATTTCCAAGTGTCCGTTGAGAGCCATTCCTTGTCTTGTCTCTTCTTTCTTCCTAGAACCGTTGAACACGTTTCGTTGAGAATCGCCTTCAGAGAGTTCCAATGGTCTTCCACGCATGATTCTTCAGTGATGTCACGTAGTGTTTCCTGCTTTGCTCTGACAGTTGCAGTGAAAGTGTCGTTTGTCGTTGTGTCCTTCAGTTTCTGAGAGTTGAACTTGCATTGTGGCCTGTCCCCAGCTATCTTCAAGGCTTTTAGCTTCACCTTGAAATTCCCTTGTACTAGATAGTGGTCTGAACCCACATCTGCTCCTCTCCTCGACCTGTGTCCAGTAGGCTCCGGCTCCAATTTCTTGAGATTGAAATGAAGTCTATCTGGTTTTTGGTGTTTCCATCTGGTGAAATCCATGTCGCCTTGTGTATATCCTTAAGTTTGAACACACTGCCACCAATCACCAAATCATCGAAGGCGCAGAAGTCTGGAAGTCACCTAGGGCCTCGCGACCCACGGTGAGTTCTCTTCCTATATTTTCTCCTCCAAGCTCCGCATTCATATCACCTATCAAGGATTTTGATATCGCCATTTGGGACGTTGTCCATTACTGTTTGTAGTGGTCTGTAGAAAGCCTCCTTCTTCTCTTGTTCTGAGACGTTTGTAGGCGTATAGCATTGAATGACTGTAACTTTCCTTCCTTTTGAGTTGAACCTGGCTATCATTATCTCATTCACGCACTATTATGCTTTGTTTTAACTTAGCTGCCTAGGCCTTTATTAAAGCAAAAAACCGCTCTTAGTTCAGATTTGTTCCTTGCCTAAATTCTGCTTGCCTTGACGAAGAACACCAAAACAAAGAAATATTTTCATCGAAAACGTCATAGTTTCCATGATAAGGCCAATATGTTTAGCACTAAACATTGCAAATGTATATTACCATTCCAAGGACTCTACAGCCACTTGCTGTATATATCTTGTAGGCGGGCTTTCAATGACGCATTATCGATAATTGTATTTTATGCCATTTTACAGTTTCTCTGGATGTTGTTCTCCTCCTGAAATGGCTTTTAATCACGTGAGAGCATAGCACTTACCCAAATCTACGGTGTCCATTGTGAAGGCTCTACAATTTAATAATAATAATTTCGCCTTTGTTTCAGAAACAGTACTAGTGGTACAGTGTGGAATTTTCAGCAGTATTGCATCTAATTTCATCGCACGTTTAAAAGGAGTATAACAAAAAATTAAACATAAGAAAAACCAAAAAGAAACACAAAAATAACAAAAAAGCCCATAAAAATACCAAGTAGAAAGGAAGATAAACGCCAATAATGAATAATATTTCAGTATTTGTTAGTGGGAGCTATGATATGTGTCTGCGTGGTGAACAGTAACAGCTATAATCATACAAGAAGCTATGAAATGTTCTTGAGAATGCTTATAGCCAAGATGATCAGTTAATTTGATTGAACTACACTGAACAATCATAAAATAAACCTTTCAGGTTTTTTTATTGTCAGCACTAATGCAGTGTTTGTTGTGGTAGTGTGAGTAATCATGCATAATACAAAATTTTTAGATGGTAATAATGGCATTCACAACCAAGATTGTCAGTTTAATATTGCCGAAAAAAAACAATCAAAAAACTAATATTACATGATGGTTAATGACAGGACAATTTTGTAATACTCATAGTGATAATATAGTCGGATCCAGTAGATACACAAAAGAAAAAATAGAATAAAGAATAAAAAAGTAGTCCAGTGATAATAATTTTAGGTAGCTAAGTATGTTTAAGAGGGTTGTTCACTATAGAGTACAAATAAGAGAGTATAATGGGGAAATAAAAGAGCCAAAATTATGTTATTAACAAAGCAAGTCATAGGTTTCACGCTTGACATTGTCTCTGTCACCTAGAACACGGACCAAATATGGTATCGTTGAGTTCCTATACTTGTTTCTACGAGCATATATTATTTTGTACTGATTTCTGGTTCTACCTGATGAGATGCAAGGAGAGAGTTGGGAATAAACGGGGTGTTGGGGGTCAGAGAGTATGGTTTTAGACCATTTTTCGCATGTATTCAGATGCCTTTCTACTAATGTGACGAGCTGACTGAGTTTTACACCACTAGTCCTACTAACTACCTTCAACATCCTTCTCAGGATGGTATAGTCCTTTTTTAGTAGAGGTTGGGTGATTCCAGATAGTCTAAGTTTCTTTATGTAGTAGGTTAGACGGAACACTTTCTTAGAAATCATTAGGATATGAGATGACCAAGTAAGGTCGGAAGATAGAACTAGTCCGAGGCATTTTGCATTAGACTTAGTTTCAGTTTTAGTCCCCTAGTTGCTACAGGCTTCATGAGTACTTACTAGTGTTTGTAGACCTCGTTTATGCCTAAAGGAGTAGTCAATAGTCCGGCGTTTTGAAGGATTCAGCCTGAGGCCATTTAGTTTAGACCACTGACTGATGTCCGACAGGAAGCTATTTAATTTGAAACAGTCTGACTGAGACTTAACGGGAAGCGAAACAGTCAGGTCATCTGCATATTTGACGAAGTTGATTTCATGGAGGATTTAATCATGAGCTGACATCAGTTAGAGAACCACTGGACAGCTGTTTCGTCCTAGTTTGGGACTCTTCAGCAGTACGCACCCACCGGGATGAAGAGTCACAAACTAGGACGAAACAGCTGTCCAGTACTCCCAGGTTTTCCAGTGGTTCTCTAACTGATGTCAGCTCATGATTAAATCCTCCATGCAATCAAACAAAATCCCTACAAAACCAATACTTGGAAGTTGATTTCGTCTGAGAGAGGTAAGTCATGTAAGAAGAAGGAAAAGAGAAACGGAGCGAGAACACCACCCTGAGGAACTCCAGCTTCAGTAAGCAAAGGAGAGGAAGCTACACCATTATATATCGTGTACTGCATCCTATTGGAGAAGTAAGAGTGCAGCCAGTTGATAGCCCATGACTCAGTTTGTGTAAGGCTGAGCTTGTTTAACAAAAGGCCTCTAGGTACAGAGTCGAAAGCAGATGTGTAATCAAGGAACGTACAACGGACATACTTGGCCCCTTTGTCTAAGGAGGATAAACACAGCAGCAGCGTCTAAAGTACTTCTACCCTGTTTGTAAGCAAACTGCTTTGGATCATTTGAGAAGTTTAGGGAGGGAACAAGTTTTAGTAACAATAATTTCTCGATTAGTTTCAAAAAAGGAGAGGTAATAGCAATAGGTCTAAACTTAACACTATTTCCAGAACCAGACTTGCGTACAGGGATGATTTTAATATCTTTCCACAGAGAAGGCACAACATTATTAGAAAAAGAAGTATTGAAAATGTTTGTAAGTGGTTTACTTAAAATATCAGCACATTTCCTTAGAACAATGGCAGGTATACCACCAGGGCCTAGACTCTGGGAAGGTTTAAGAGATTTTAAACATTTAAGAACATCAGAAGTATTGAAACTATGAAAGTCACTGGTCGTGTTATTAGTTAAATTGAAGGCAGAAAGGACATTAGGAGGGCGGATAAAAGATCTATTTAGAGTATTTGCATCAATAGAAGGAGCACAAATATTATGCTTACCACAACCAGTAATTTCTCTAAAAAGCTTCCATATGTTTTCTGGAGTTTTACAAGACAGTATTGTTTGATTATAAATGTTGTTTAGTCTCTTGATTTCAGATTTAATTTGGATGTTTATCTTCCTAAGTTGAGATTTATTCTTTGTCTTATACAGCTTCTCGTTTTCTCTTCGAAGCTTTTTGAGATGAGGGGAAGAGAAACGGTCCATTCTTTTGAAAAGTATCTGTTTTGGACAGCAAACATCAAGGCGGAATTTAAGATAGTCAGTCAAATTCGAAATAGTATCATCCAGTGTGTGTTCGGTGAAAAGATCCCAGTTACTGTCATTTAGCATACATCTTTGTTTGAGCACATTTTCCTGTGAGTAACAGCTTTGCTGTGCTTTCCTGGACAGATTTGAGAAGATATTTATGTGAGATCTTCTGTATATCTTGGGTAATATCCGAATAATACAATGATTCGAGTTCATTGTAGGAGCACGTCTGCATACTTCATATATTTCCTCATCATTAATAAACACTAGATCAAGAGTTTTATCAAGTCGAGTAGGAAATTTTACAATATTGACATGACGTAATGGTACAAGGAAAGAACAATCACAACGGTGTAACGGCAAATTCAGTGAATTCATCAGCAAAATCAGATAGATCCGAGGCAGAACAGCCAGGAATAACCTAAATGTTTGAGATGAAGACGTATTTAAACTTGGATGTGTGTTTCGGACGACATTCGACCGTTACATCAATCACTAGAGAAAGAAAAACATACATTATTTGAAGTTGACCATTGAGAATGAATGAAAGTTGCAACAACTCCAACTCTTTTCTTTCTGAAGCATAGTAGATGTTGTCTAAACAATGTAAAACCATTTAGGGAAACCAGATTGTCATCATAGAGTTCATGTAGCCATGTTTCTTTTAATGCAACAATCGCCGTATTGTGATAAGTATCAGATGGTGAGAGAGACTGGAGATGCATAATTTTGTTGGGAAGTGAACGGCAGTTTGAAGTGACAATAACAGGAATAGTTGTGTGATATAAAGGTGTCTGTTTAAGAACACGCTATCAACCACCGTGATGTTTTCTCTTAGTTTTATTAGATGCATGAAAGTCATATGGTTTGAAACGTTTAATGAATGAATTACTGTTTTATACGATTTGTGGTCATATTTTATTTAAATTAAGAATGAAAACATGACGTATTAGATGCAATATGTAGATGCACTGTAACACTTGGAAACAACAGGCACACCCAGTGAAGGAAGAAGACGAAGATGCGGAAGAAAAGAGCTTTTATTCAGCCACGCAAAGTTTAAACTATCCGGGTACAAGCTACATATCATCATTTATAACAAGCTTTGACAATCGGTCCTCTTCTTGCTCCAGTACAGCCAGGCCAACCTTTCTTTCTGAAAAAGAGGAAATAAGAAATTCATCTAGTGTTATCATGCTAGTTTTTATCTCATTACAGCATGAAAAGGTAGCCCAGGTGTCAAACAGGCCACCAATATCTCTTCAAATTTATGACAACCTGTTCTGATTGCTTGTGCAATAATCGAACGATTTAAACTTTTGAAAAAGTATTAATTTATGATTCTTCACGATTGCAATTTATAACATAAATTATTGTACCTGCAGAAATAGCATGCATTGCTTTTAAATACCCGTTTATACGACATAGTAAATTATTATTATTTGCTTAGTGCCGTACTTTACAAGATGAACAATGTTTCTGACAGTGAAGACCACAGAAGAATGCTGCCATGACCAAAGGATGAGAAAAGAGAATGTAACTTTTTCAGCGAAGGTAGGCAAATATAAAGCGTTTAACTTTTTTTATATTACTTTTTCCTAACTTCAGCGATTTAAAAAATACACTTCATTCACTTACTTGTAGATGTCGAGTAACGTCAGTCAACCTCGTCACAGAAATTCAACATCGCCGAAATAACTACAACAAACAATTGTGTAAAGACGTTTGCTAGTCATTATTTTTCATTAAATATATTTAACATCCTGCTTACCGTACTTTCCTTACTCTATCTGAGTGAAACTAGATCTGTCATCATGACGAGATAGAGACCTGACTTATCAATGAGACCTGAGAAAGTAATTCTTGGCATAATTAAGCGTAAGCGAAATATTACTACGATTGATACAGCTCAACCCATTCACTTATTCGTCTCGTGTGTAATTCATTTTACACTATACGCTAACACCCGTAATCATATGGATTGACATCACGCTTCAAGTGAAATAATAGTAATGTACTACTTTTGAATACACTTAACCTTATACGAAATCGAACTTCACCACAGCGCCTAAGTTCTATTCTTATTTTTCAACTACTGAAGGTAAGTACTTTTGCCATTGGTCCTTACAGATTTACCTATGACTAGGAGATGTACTCGCGTGTCTTTTGGCAGATGTTTAGGCTTGATTAAAGTACTTATAATTCACCACTTGTATCGAACGATAGTGTTCGTACAGAATGACACTTACGTGTATTAACAAGTTCATATCCTAGGGAGTACTGGTCTAGCATGCAATACTCCCACCGCATGTAGAACAAATAGAACACAACAAAATTAGATAGAAAATTTTATTTCGCTGCAACGCAAACAAGTCTATTAACATGTATAGACTGAGCACAGTCAAAGATGAAAGTCTTCGTCTGGGAAGTATCTCCCATTATTCGACGGAAACTGCCCAGTGTTCAAATTGCGTCCCTTTAAATTCTTCCGCAATTCAAGTAAACAGAACTTTATGCCCATGTCCAAAGTTATCCGGTATCACAAACTGCAAAACAGAATATCTGCATGGTTATACATAAATGAGTGAACTTACCTTCACTTGTTGTTGTATGCAGAATAAATTCCTACAGCTGATTATGCAAATGTATCTGGTCATAAGTGGTTAAACACTCGTCAGTGTTTTTCAGATGTTTTTGTCCGAGTGCGACTTCATCTGCGTCCGCTGAATTTAACTAATTGACAGACCTCATTAAGGCTTGACATTTCTAAAACTGTTACAGATTAAATTCAGTTACATAAATAAAGCATTTACATAATTAATGATAAGAAGGAGGGAGGGTGGCGCATGCTGATCAGCAGATGTTGTAGTGGTCACAAATGTGAATCGCTCTGATCTGTAGGACAGCAACATGCATTTTTAGACAGCTCGAGAATTAAACATGAGTCTGGACCATCAACAAAATAATGGTTGTAGATATCTAAATTATAAATAAATAAAGTGCTTTTGCTCCTACCATCTACAAGCCTGTTCAGCTTCTTGTCAAGATGCTATCCATCAGGCCCTACAGAAATTCGTGAGGTATCTTACAGATCAGCTTGATCTACGGCGTCTAATTTTCCAGATCTTTAAATTCACTCCTCACTTAAACATCACTTACCTAGCTCACAATAATCTTTTCATTTATGCACTATTATACTCTACCTGATCCTAACAATGTAGGCCTTTATTAAAGCTAAAACTTGCTCTTTGTTCATATTTATTGCTTGCCCAAATTCTAGTTGCTTTGATTAAAAACACAACAACAACAATGTTTGAACGAAGCTATATCTTCATCGAAAACATCATATTTTCCATGCTTAGACCAATATGGTTAGCAATAAACATTGCTTTCTTCTTGCATTTATCTTGTAAATATACTTCCAGTAATGTATTGTTCATAATTGCATTTTATATCATTTTGCAGCTGCGCGGAATTTTCTTCTCTTCCTGAAATAGCGTTCAGTCACTTGGCGGCATAGAACTCACCCAGATATACTCTGTTCACTGATTGACCATAACTATCAGCAGGAAACAACGAAGTTCGGGTTGTCGCTCAACTTTGATGGTGATATTAGTAAACGGTTTACAATTTAACATTTATAAGAACCTGTTCTAATTGCTTGTACAATAACTGAACAATTGAAACTTTTGAAAAAGTATTAATTTATGATACTTCAGGATTGTAATTTATAACATAAATGATCGTGACTGTAAAAATGGTATGCTTTTCTTGTAAACTTATCCATTTAAACGAAATATAAATTATTATGATTATTATAATTAACATGCATGACTACATATGACTTAAGTATTCAATAAATTCAGTCATCCGAGTTTACACCTCTTTTCAAATGTGGCGCACATTAATGGTGCAGAAAATATGAATATTATACATACATAATATTATTAACTACCAGTAATTGTGCCATCGAATCATACTACAAGAATACATTTGACAATACTTTGTTAGAGGTCTGAGGGATAAAAATATTAGAGAGAAAAATACACGCTAAATGAAAGTTCCACAAAGTTGTCTCACTACTATACAGTGTCTCATTCGCCGATTTTTCCTCTGCATGTGAACGTAGCCACATACTGGTATGTGAGAAAAGTCGGAACTGTTGGTAATTTATAAGGTCCTCGCTTTTTGAAAGTATTCCAATGCGTTCGCGGCTTCAAAATACTAAATAATATCTTCTGAATGGCGAATAGCATATCAATTTTTTTTGCTTAAGCTCATACAGAACAGATAATTCATGTGCTAGGATAAGAGCCACACTTATCATGTGAGGGCTAGTGATACTACGTAATATTTTAGGCTAAAGTGGGTGGAATAGGACCCCGACCCGTGACTCATTGGCTAATGAGTCACATCTCCACGAACCAAAATTGTGGTGGACCTTTTACACTGTTAGTTTAGTTACCCAAATTCAAATAGAAAATAAAATACCAAATCAGTTTAGTTACGGGAAGAATATATTAAAGTTTCGTTACTCGGGTTTACAAAGATCCAAAATCCACAATAAACGTAATAGACTCCAGGGTTGCTGCGGGAAGGCTGCTCCAGTACTAATTCTCCAATGTTGACGTTGCCGGAGGTCGACCAAAGTACGTAGGAAGAAACTACGGTGCTCCTGCAAAAATTTGAGATAGAAAGCAGGTTGTTATAATTGATCGACGGTAGTTGAGATGGTGGAGAAGACGGAGAGTCGAAGGCTGAACTATATATTTATTCAAAACCCGAGGTAAAGTTCAAAGTACAGAGTTTATGGTTAAAACAAAGTAGTGTACAACATGTTCATTTCTTACATAGTAGTAAAATTTGGATAAGTTTATTTTTGAGGACTCCACAAATGTGGTACTGAAGTGTGTTAGTCAGTAAAGCAGTATACTTAAATGAGTGCAAGATTGATTTATATGTTGTGACAGCCTGAAATTTTTGTTCTTTTTGGTAATCCGCCGAGATTGATATGAGAGTGCTATAAGTCCCAACCGAAAGCAACTAGTACATTATGTGAATGTAATAAAAACGAGGGTCTGTTAATCAAATGTCTGATGCAACTATTTTCTGTATACCATAAATTTGACTGATTTTTAGGTGGTACATCAATCGTTGATGTTAAAATGTCACTTGTGACAAACTTGAGTAGGAATGGCGAAAAGAAAAACCCAAACTTTTGAGTGTCATAAACTCAAAAGAAACACTCGATTTTTAATTGTTAGGTTATAGTGTGAAATATTGCTTCACTTGGGAGGGTTTGAGGTTCCAGGTAATATCGTTGACTTTTACTCAGCAACTTTCGTCAACTGCCAATTACACGAACATGCATATTGTTGCTCAAGCGGCTTATGTATTTATTTATTTGAGTTGCCTTTTTCTCAGCTTTAAATGAAATTCATGCCTTAGTGAGTGAAAAATTAAATATGCATTGCATACAGTAAAAACAATTGTAACTAGCCGATGTTATTTTGTTGTTTTATTGCTACCTAGATAACATGAGTTCCACAAAGAGGCGAAATGCTTAGGTTTTGCAGTTTTACTTTGAATTGTAAGTGTTGTTTTCAGATCAGCATATTTAAATAATGCACAAATATGTCATTTGACGCACTTGCCTATGTTTTATATTGTCTTGGCAACGCGTATTTTTTCTGTCTTTAATCATCTTCATGTTACACAATTTGCTTATTTGGTAAACTGTGTTATTGGGAAAGGGATCGAAATTCTATTGTTCTTATGGTTTATGTAACGTTTTCTAATTTCATCATTTCCTAATTGTCCTTAAACTATTCTTTATTGTAGTATCTATTTAGACTTCTCGGGTAACTTATGAATAGTATTCACTTTGAACATTTATTCCTTTTATTAACCACGGAAATGCCTCAAAAAAGTAAAATGAAGGCATGTGTTTTGGTATTACTCAAAACAATGTACTGTGGTATACTGTTCATTAGCATTTCTCTTTTTTGATAAGTGACAAAATGAATGAAATGTGATTTGAAATCCACAATGCTTAGAACACAGGATTAGTTTCATAATAGAAAATTGCAAATTAACTATACGACTCAGAGAACACAACGACATCAAAATACCTCAAATCTGCGGCACATTTTTGTGATTTCCTTGGCATATTTGTAATAACTTTCGTATACTTCAGTCTATCTGTACGGAAGGCCGTGGATACCGACGTAAGAATAAGAAACAATAGAGCGATTCTGATACTGTTTAAATAAATAGTGAAATTTTAAAGTTCTCGAAATCAGATTATTTTCCATGTTGAACCTGTTTTTTACTTCCG